AGGAGGGGAGGTACAGTCAATTTGCATGTCTCTCTTTTATTAGATTACATAGCTAAGATCTGGAAACAACCCAAGTACTAAGAGTAGATGAATGGACAATGCACCTGGCTATAAAGCAAGTCGTGTTCCTGGGCTGAAGAAACTGTAAGGAGACTAGTTGTTGCTAGGGAGAGGAAGCCAGGTGTTGCTACATGACATCTTTACCTGGATGAACACTTAGCATATTAGCCTTTTATATATATAGATATCCAGTATAGGCGAGTCAGTATAGAAAAAAAGCGGATTAGTTTTCTGGGGTGGGGTGGGAGGAATGAGAGTGACAGCTTAATGAGTACAGTTTCATTTTAGGGTGATGCAAATGTCGTGGAAGTAGCAGTGATGGTTCCATGACATTGTGAATGTGCTACATGTCACTGAATTGTACACCTATCATGGTTTAAATGGTTTTCTGTGGTGGGTATCTTACCACAATGATAGAAAAAGCTTGTTATCGTTTGCTTTATAAAACATTTAGTAATGATTTTATCATCAATAAAATCTGATATTGACAAGATCTAACCAGCTGCTTATCACAATTAATACAAATGTATGTAATATTAAATAAGCCATTCTTAGATAAAACAGAGACTGACATTTATAATAAAATATCGGTTTGGGAAAAATGCATTTAGGTAATATTCATTTAATTATCTGATTACCTAAATATTTTTTGTGATAAGTGATGGTTCTAAATAGTGGAGAATTCATAGTAAAGCCTTTCTCACCAGGATACTGTAATGGATATAGTCAAGAAGGACCAATAATAATATGTTTAATCCTGTACTAGATATGTCAAAATATAACATATTAATTACATAATCTTCTTAAAGCAAAAGCAGGTACTCAGGAAGACTAGAGGATTCCACCAACTGCCTGCCTGGGTGAAACTGTTTAATATTTCATGTGAACCAAGGGGCTTTAATTATAAGTTTCTGCCTAGTTCTCTAAATAAGTCTGATAGTGGATATCACCTCTTTAATTTAAAACTTAACCTAGATTTCATATCTCTAAAGTCTCATTATGGGTAATTTAAAAATAACTTGGACAACTAGTTATGTACTAGGACATTGATAGGCGAAAGAAGAAAGGGTTAAGTTGAATGCGTGTGCAATTTAACAGAGCAGTTTTTATTGTGTGCATATAAGGTTGGTGAAAAGGAAGGCAGGGAAAATAAGGTTTTCAACAACTGTGGCAACATTTAGCACATAGATATTGCAACAACCCAGAAAAAAATGGAAATTAAAATTTGAAGTAGAATAGTAAAAAGAACACGAATATAGATTTGGGGAATATGTGTAGTTAAAGTCAACAAACTTACCTTTGTTTATAAAGATAAAATCCAAATCCTGCAAATATAAGTGCAAAAAAAGGCACAAGAATAGCAATGGCCACAGAACTACTATTTGTACCATGAGGTTGATTCGAAGAATTTAAACCCTCTGACATATTCAATCCTATAAAATAAAATAAAATTATAAGTACATAATCAACTCAATTTATCACAGTTGATTTTTATTTTCTGAACCAATTAATTTTTCTCTTTCTTGGCAGTGTACATAGAATAATGAAACTCCTTCAGCTCAATTCCACACAATTTTGCACAATGCCTATTATGCATAAGATATTTTCTCAGGAAAGGATACAGAATAAAAATAAGCAGCATCTTTGAACTGAAGAGTTTATACAACTGTGAGAAGAACACTAAGACATAAATAAGTGGATGCATCAGGCATGAATTAATGAGCAATGTTCTTTAGGAAGGGAAGGAGAAATTCCATCTGCTGGTATGTAAGAACGCTTCTGGAGGATATACACTATGAGATGTGTCTTGAAGAATGAGTAGAACAATGAATGGAGGAAGAAGCAGGACCATCAATAACCTAGAAATGGGAAGATCGGTGGCGTATTTACGGGATGTGACAAGCATTCGGCATAGATGTGTGGAAATGACTGTGGTAGAAATAGGAGGCTAAAATGGTTAGCTATGATTAAACTTTGAAAAGGCATAAATAGTCCAAAGAGCTCAAACTTACTGCTCACTAACAGTGAGGGATAATGGAAGGTGTTCAACAATGAAAGGGCCAGTGATAAAACATGATTTAGAGCAGTGACTGGTGTCGGATGGACTCGAGGGGGTCCAAACCGGAAGCCAGAGTAATTTAAGGTTGCAGTAACAACCCAGATAAAACAAAATTAAGATGTGAATTAAAACTCTAGGAAGAGGATAGGTTTAGGTGAACATTTTGGAGTTAAAACCAAGAGAACGTGTTTGTGTGCCACATGAAAGAGGTTAAAGGCATAGGATTATAGTGCTTTACTCGGGGCTGAGTAAATGGTGATGAGACTGGCCGTCAGAAAATGAGAAAAGTCAGGTTTGTCAACACAATGGCACATGTGTCAAGGGGAACTAAATAACAATTATTTTTTCGGTTCCCTTTTTATAGGTTCTGTTTTAGATATGTGTAGTGTTTGAGATGCTTTTGGAAACATTGTGCATTTCATTACACAACCGTTTTACTGTATCATGTTAATGTTTTATCCTGTTTTTAAAAATAACACAATTTTAGGTAAGACATTATCTGAAATTACTATTATTGCTTATTTAGAGAAAGTTAATTTCACTTTTTGATAGTTATATTCAACTATATGATACCTCAGGCCAGGTTTTAAAAAAAAGTTATTACTTTATTCTATACATATTTTTCCAGGGACTCAGAATATTTATGTAAAAGTTCAAAGTAATTAAATTTCTAAGAAAATGTCAAATAGTAGATTTTTAGAGCCATAATTTATTCTTTATGTAGCAACAACACAAGATAATGGCAGACAATATAACTGAGGAAAATTATACAATCCCCCCCCAAAGAAAACTATATCCCCAAGCTATGTTATACCCCCCAAAACTTACACATCCAAAGCTATGTTAATAAATACATTTCAGGCAAGGCCTTTACATGTTTACACATATTTTAGCAGGATTGGGAATAAGAATGACAAAACCCTGTACCTCCCACAGCAAACTTATGTATCTGAAGAGCACAAAGCCCCGATGCTACACCCATTCCTCAAAGTTATTTTCCCTTTCCAGACTCTATGAGTTTCTCAAAGTGCCACTACATTCTCGAAGAAGAAAGAAAATTGCAACAATATTCAAACTGAAGAGAAGTATTCCAGTTCTCATGAGATAAGATAATTTACAGTTTAATATTTTCCTTTATATCTATATCACTTTTTCTCCTTTTTACTTGCTTAAGGGCAAAATAGTTTGTCATGTTTATTGGAAAGATGATGAAAAACCACACTGTACAGAGGTGGTACATAGAGAACCAATATTTTGAAGAATGAGATTGTTTAAAAGGCTATCAAAATGGATCAATGTATAGTCCTGACAATGCAAAATCCAAAATGTAGTAAGTGTGCCTAATATACAGAATCTACTTTATTCTCTTATGATGTTTGGAGTAATAAGTAAACTACATGAAAATGAAAATGAATACATTACCCAGTCTTTGGAGTCCAAATTGCCCATAATCTTTGCCCTGAATAAATCCTTGAAACACATAAGTAGCTCCATCAGGCTCAGCAGAAACCTAAAAATATTTATAATTTGATTAAATGTGAAGACTGCCCACAGATATATTTTCCCAACCTTAATAAATATTCAATGTTATTCTGAAATGAATAAAAGGCAAAGTTCCTTTTTCCTATATAAACCACAGAACATTGTACAAATTTTCCATCATTAAAAGAAAAATCAAAATTGTAATTTGTAAATAATTATGATATTAAAAAGGCAAGGTGATTATTAATGTCATGACATAGATATATAGATTTCTTTTAGGCTAAGAAAACAACTGGCAAAGAAAAGAGCAAGGATACGATGAAACAAGAAGCAAATGCTCAATTGAAAATTAAAGTATAAAAATAGCATGTTTTCAGATTAAATTACTCCTCAGCATTTATGCACTTCTCCCCACTCCAATGACCTTCTTGGGAAAAGTATATTTCGCATCTCACTGAGTTGGGTTTGGTTCTGTGACTTCCTTTGGCCAATAGAATGTGGGTGGAATTGACAATATCAGGCCTTAGCCTAGGTCTTAAGAGGCATGTTTCCCTTTATAATAAGTTAAGTCAGTCACAAAAGGCCACATATAATATGATTCTATGAATATGAAAGTCAAGAACAGGGAAATCTGTAGAAATAGAAAAAGATTTGTGGCTGCCTAGGGCTGGGGCCGTGATAGGGAATGGCTGGGCGAGATGATAGCTAAAGGATATAGAATTTCTTTCTGAGGTGAAAAGTATTCTAAAATCCACCGTGGTGATGGTTGAACATTTGCAAATATACCAAAAGTCATTGAAGACAACACTATAAACGGTTGAAGTGTAGGCTGTGTGAATTATATTTCAATAGAGCTGTTAAACAAGGAGGTGCATGTTTGCCACTGTGTCACCAAGTGCTTCTGACCCGACAGAAAAGGAGAAGCTTCAGGGAGCTGGTGCAGCTCCAGCCTGGGCCCCAGAACAGACTCCGTGGCTTCTAACAGAATGTGGGCCACATGGACAACAGGTCTGGCCACACTAACCTCAGACACATGAGCAAGAACTAAATCCTGGTTCAGTGACTCTGAGATTGTGTGGCTATGTCTAATGCTGTAAATGCTGATTATTAACATATTTTTTTTTAAAAAAACTGTACATGGGTAGCATCATTTGATCTCATACATAAAATAGGAATTTACACATTTCAATCTTCCTGCTAAGTAATAATAATAATTAACCCTGATGGTTGTTCTAATTAGCTGCAATTGGCCACCTAAGTCATGTCTCTCTCTATATATATATATAAAAGCCAAAGCAACCAGAATGCCAAACTACTAGTTGCTACGACACGCACTGACCACCAGGGGGAAGATGCTCAATGCAGGAGCTGCCCCCTGGTGGTCAGTGTGCCGGCTGGAAGGCCCCGGCCGACAGCTGGAAGACCCTGATCGGCCCTGATTGCCGGCTAGGCCTAAAAACCCCACCCATGCACAAATTTTGTGCACCAGGCCTCTACTAGTATTATAAAAGTTATAAAACAAAACAACAACCAAAAACTTGACTCTCTCTCTTTAAAGCAAAATATACCAAACCATCTGCACAAGTCTGATATAGCACAAGTGGTAAAATTTATTCTTTATTATCAGACATCATACTCTAGGCATGGCAGTTTTTATTTTTTTATTTTATTTTTATTTATGTATTTATTTATGTATTTATTTATTTATTATTTAAAATATTGATTTCAGAGAGGAATGGAGAGGGAGAAAGAGATAGAAACACCAATGATGAGAGAGGAGCATTGATTGGCTACTTACTGCTCG